TTTCTTTCTTTCTTTCTTTCTTTTTTGTGACAGGGTCTCACTATGCAGTTCAGCCTGGCCTTGAACTCTCAAGGGTCCTCCAGCGTCAGCCTCCCACGTGCTGGGATTACAGTAGTGCATCACCACACCCAGCTACTTTTATAGCTATTTTAAGGTGCATTTTCAGATTCTTTCCCCCAATTAACTCCTCTCACATAAAATGTTCAGAAATATGTTACACTATATATTTATTTGTACACTGTTTTGTCTATCTGTACTTTATACATACAGAGTTGTTTTTGTTTTTGTTTCTGGCACCATCACCCCCAGAAAGGTTTCCTCTCTGGGGAATGACATTACCCCCAAGGACAATGCATGATTTACTTAAACATATTTACAGCTATATGTCACGTTGACCATCAATTAAAGAAAAAAAAAATCTAAACAGCATAATTTAGCTGTGTGGTTTACTACAATATATGAATTCTGACACATGAAATTAAAAAGAAATGAACCTGAAGATTACAAAATGTAAAGACTGGAGCATTTGTATCTAATAAAAGCACCTGGCAGAGAATGTGCTCAGTAACCTTCTGATAAACAGGTGGAAATTTGAATTACAGATGCGTTACACTGCTCCTAAAAGTCATTTAGCAAGATAACTCTTCAATAGACCACAGAAGTGTTGACTCCATATTTGAAATTTCAAACCACTAAAAATCCTACAACCCAAAAATTTGGAGTGTTCTATCATCAAGTCTCAGGTGGAAAAGAAACTAGACAGAAAACAGGAACCTTTTAAAGATGAAACTCCTGTTTAGACATTTTTAACCTTTGGTTCATGAAATGCTTTGAGTATAAAATGAAAGCTATGTTCTTTTTCCCTAGGAAAATACAGGGGCTAGGGAGATGGCTCAGTAGAATAAGTGCTTGCCTGGCAAGCGCAAGGGCCTGAGTTCAATCCTCGTGTTCTGCAAAAAAAAAACTTAGGGAAATACACAAGCACCAAATATTCAGTGTCTAAAATCCAACTGACAATCTTAAAATGTCTCCATTAAAAGGATAGAGAGGGCTGGTGAGATGACTCAGTGGTCTAAAGCACCTACTTAGAACAAGCTTAGCAAAGCACAGGGACCGCAGTTCAAGCACAACACCACATGCCAGCCAGCACCGCTCCCTGGTGGGCTGAGCTGGCCACCCACACCCACACCCACCCACCCACCCACACACATACATAAATAAATAAAATTTTTTTTAAAAAAAGGATAGAAAAAACAAACACATTTTCTGTCTGAAAAATAAGATAAGTTACTTTTAAAAAGTT